CCCCGCTCTGTTTACAAAAAAAAAGGGTAACAATGATCATAACGGACAAAAGAAAAATAGCAGCAAAAAAAAACAGCACCACTGATTACTGCAGGCACCACAGCCACGCTAGCAGCAACAATGACGACAACAGTAACAGTAACAACCTAATAACAATAACAACAACAACTGAGTGTTCTATCCTCACTTCATCACGCACGGCACGAGACGCCGAAAGCCTGCCACAAAGAGCGGTGGACACCGTTGCTGACTGGAGTAGGCGATGGAAACTCCTTCTGAACGGCTCGAAGAGCGAGATTACATTCTTCGCTCTCGCACCATTTCACTCGGAATGGAAGCCATGCATCACGATCAATAATTCGACAATTAAATTTGAGCCCTACGCAAGACTCCTGGGAGTCACACTCGACCGCAGGCTCACGTTCAGCAAACTGGTTGAGACAGTAATAGCTAAGGCCACACAGAAGATGAGGATGCTCGGCGCTGTCGTGCACTTAAAATGGGGATGGAGGAAAGACAACCTACGAAAAGTCTACCTCACCCATATACAAAGTGTCCTCAAATTTGCGATCAGCAACTGGCAACTGTGGCTGTGCAAAACTCTGGTATATAATCTGGAGGTGGTTCAAAACAGATGTCTACGACTGACCACCACCGAAGCCCAGTCCTCACCGATCGAGGCACTTCGAGCTGAAACAGGGGTTGCTAGCATTGAGTCCACCATCAATGCTAATTGCCTTCGATCAAGAGAGAAGGCACTGTGAATGAACAACGACGACCCCCGACGAATTGCGGCAACGGAACAAGTGCACCAACGCCTAAAGGAACGCAGAGATTTCCGAAAAAGGGTCGAAGGCGCCAGCAAAAAGAGCCCACATCTGTTTAACTTCGAGATGAGACACATTACTTATTTGGAAACAAAACTGTGGGAACAGGGAATCAGCCCTGACATCATTTTTCCCACCTGTACGGCATAAGCGAAAGGAGTGACTCCAGTGTGAAGATCCAAAGCGCTGCTGTTCGTCGAGCACGAAAGCTTGGTGCACAGTACAATCTACGCTGACTGCTCGGCGAGTGCAGGAACAACGGATGGGGATGCTGGGGTCGTCATCACAACGGAGGACTCGTCCAACCTGACCGTTGTCGAGACCCTGAGGGAGAAAGGCGCTCTATTCACGGGCTCTTTCGAGGAAGAGAGAAGAGCCTTGGAAATGGCCATTATTGAGTGGATTGACAAACAGTGCGATGCATCCAATCGGTCGCTATCTTCGCTGACAGTCAATCGCTATTCGCTATGCATGGTACAAGAGGGAACATCACCATCCCTCGACCAAATGTGACTACGCATAAATAATACAACACCTCAACCCACGATTCAGTGGATCCCACGGCACTACGAGATCCTCAGCAACGATCTCGCTGACAGTAATGCCAAACACGCAACAGCGCAGCCGGGCCCAGGCCGCAAAAGGGTATATGAAAGCGCGTGCGCCCAGATAAAACTGATCACAAAAGACCCTCCGATATCCCACACGCGGACGAAAGAAATAATATACAGGACAATTTCCTTAAAACGGAAGGCTCAAATTTAGTCCCGTAGCGACCAGTCACTACTAGCAAAAATCAGGACCGGCCACTCCCCTGGGCTGCGGGCCTACAAAAATAAAATAGACAAATCATCGGACCCAATCTGTCCTTTGTGCAGCGAGGAGCCGCAAGATTTGGAGCGCTGGCTGCAGAGATGCCCCGCGACGGAGGTCCGGCGGTGGCATCTCTTTGGGGAGGATTCAGGGAGGTAGGGCTGCCTCACCTGCTACCCAAGAGAGACAGTGGCCGTGACGAAGAGCATGCTCTTTGGGGCTCCAAACATTTCGAACGGATAGGCTACCACACACTCAAATAACAACAACAACAACAAAAACAACAACAACAACAACAACAACAACAACAACTTAAACGCTTATTTACTGTGTCGGTTTCGTATTCCCTTTACATCATGTTAGCGCTGCACGTGATTCTCTCTCTTTCTCTCCTTGGTGAAAGGTCTAAAACTGACTATATAATTAGGATCGGAGCAGCCTGCCCCCTAAATGACCTAAATTGTGTCAATGTCAGTGAAAACCGAGTTATAATTATAAGCGAGAAGTACATCAATACAACACTGGGCGCGTAGAGCCTGACAGGACCAGATCAGACAGACAATAGAAACAACGAAAAGAAAGAAGTATGACTTACCAGTGTGCGCTCTTTAACTACCCCCACAAGGAGGGAGGGAGAGAGAGGGAGAGGGAAGAGAGAGAGAGAGAGAGAGAGAGAGGGGGGGGAGG